CGTCGACGAACTCCGTGACCGATTCGGTCTAAAGCGCGTCAGATCTACCGACGATTTCTTCAGCAAGAGGGATGCAGGTTCGAATCCTATCGAAGTATGCATTTTTTTTTCTTGTAACCTAGAAAGGGTTACTGAATGAGGAATAACCAAAACGGAGGTTGGAAATGAAATGGTAATCTTTCTAACATCAACAAAATACAATACTCGCCAGCGGCGTGAAATAGGTAAACCACTGCTAGTGGTGGACTACTTAGATAACATATTACCCCCACTTAAAATAGTGTCTAACGTATATATGAGGATTGGGTCATACCCATTAGTGTTCATATGTACGGGATATGACAGATATCACAAATATTCTTGCCGGTAGACGAACAAAAATAAATACGCGTTTTTTTTAGTCCCCCACTCCTATATATAGCCCGGGCCCCATTCAAAGTAGAAGGTTACAGTTTATGCTGATTTGTGGGGAAGATAGCGTTTAACCATAGAGATGTTAAGATTCTAATGATCGGGAAAACATCTTCTTGGGAATCGGTTCCACTGAACAATTGTTCACGGAAAGAAGCTGTTCAGGTGGAATTTACCTCTCACCAACGGAACAACGAGAGAATGCGGGATGGGGTCGCTTGTTTGCTGCTTTTTCACTCTGTCGAGTGTGGGCTGAAATCTTCGTCGGCTTTATCTCGTATCTAAGAATTTAATTTCTTCTTTGCTGATCGCTTCCTTTATGATGATGTCGTTGATGACTAAATTCGCCGCCAAACGTGCAGGTTCAAGACTAGAAGTTTCCTATTTCAACAAAACCTGCTCCAGTCATCCATTCCCGTCATCCATTCCCTATCGCCATTTCATTTTGAAGAGTTAGTTAATAGAAAGAAATCTAAACAAAATATCTACAAAACTGCATGAAATTGTTGGTATTATTCAAGCTGATCGCCCATAATCACACATGCAAATGAAAAGACAAGTTCAAATAGACATTTGATTAAAAAGATATCTTCGTTCTTCCGATTTCTAAAATAATGAATTCTTTCGGTCTATCTCTTTAAATTCAAGATGGTAAATAAAATTATAAGAAAAGGAAAAAACTTATTTATCAAAGATAATTGAAATATAGCAATTTTCTCAGTAATGCAATAATTCCTGGCTATTGTCAATCATTTTCTTGCTGATTTTAAATACATTTCTATAGAAAAATCATTATCAAAGAATTTAAATTATACTTCGTCGTTGTCGGCGGCGCCTGCTGTATATCGCATCCAAGAATCTAATTTCTTCTTCGATGATCGCTTCTTTTATGATGATAATGTTGATGGATACATTTACCGCCAACGTGCAGATTGAGGACTAGAAGCTTCCAGTTTCACCAGAACCTACTCTCGTCATCCATTCCCTGTCGTCGTTTGTCTTTGCAACATTTGGTTGAAAGTGAAAGAAAATCAGAGAAGAAGAAAGCGCCGATGGCGTTAATTTTTTTAAGGTGAACATCAACTTGCCACGAAGTGACCGACACACTAGATTTCATGACCTTCCTCTGCGGCACGGATAGAATAAGATATGCAGTATCCATTTATGAAACTGCAATGCAATGTCGCTAAATGTGTTATAATTTCGAGTGGCGCTTTCTATAGAATATCCTTAATGTGTAGCCTTCTTCATTCGCTAGTTTAATAATGGAGATCTGTTGTAATCATCATTAGCTTGTTCCACCGCTGGGGTGTTGATCACGCTAAGTCTGGGTCCTCGTCTCCGACCTTGCCGCCAATATATGTAATATCAGTAATAGTTTTATTGTTGTTGCTGTTAGAAGATCATTGTCAATCATTTTCTTGCTGATTTTAAATACATTTCTATAGAAACATCGTTATCAAAGAATTTAAATTATACTTCGGCGGCTTTATTTCGTATTCAAGAATCTAATTTCTTCTTCGATGATCGCTTCTTTTATGATGATAATGTTGATGGATACATTTACCGCCAACGTGCAGATTGAGGACTAGAAGCTTCACCAAAACCTTCTTTAGTCATCCATTCCCTATCGCCGTTTGGCTCTGCAATCGTTGGTTGGCGGTGAAAGAAAATCAAAATAGAAGAAAAAACAGATGCAGTGAATTTGTTTGAGGTGACCTCACCTTGCCAGGAAGTGACCCATACATTTGATTATCAAATCAGTCATGCATAGACCCTCACTCCGTCCGCTGGTTCAACCGTTGATATCTGTTGTAATCATCATCCGTTTGTTCCAGCGTTGGGCCCTTTGGGGTTTAGTCGCGCTTAGTCTGGGTCCTCATCTTCGACTTTGCCGCCAAGAGTGGCCTTACCAGGAGTTTAGGACTCAGAGTCATTGGATCAGGCAAGCCCCACTCCCACAACAAAAAGCGACCATCAGTGGTAATCATAAAATATATCATACCTAAAAATATTAAAAGAAAACCAGCAGAACTGCTTATACTATCAGAAGTGTCTGGAGCTGTATCTGGCGCCATAAAATCTCTGCTCCGAGTTGTAAAACTCGTCAGCCTAAGAGGGAAGACCATCAGAAGAAACACCCCGTGTTCACAACTCATCTGCTTTAAGATCATTCCTAACAATGGGAAAGCTTTTGGGAGTAAACTGGGAAGATAGAATTTGGAGACGGAGTCCTGAATACAGATCTACTTTGCAGACAACCACGTTCTGGCAATTCCCTCAACGATTCCAATGTCAAGCAGAATCAGTCCTTGGTCTTCCTTTGGACAATATCAATGGCGTGAAGACCTATTCATGGCTCACACACTTGTATCTCTAGCTGATTGAAAATTCCCTTGGCTCAGATTCATGGTCTCACGGGACAGACAAATGCCACGGCCAATGCATATGTCTATTCATCTGTTTAACCACATCGTTTGGTTAATACTAATTTTACTATGATAACATTCCGTGCATAATAAAACCTATCTATCAATCTATCTCCGTTGATATCTATTCATATATTTATCTAGACTTTGCTTTTATCTCTATCTTTCTCTCAATATATATATAGTCGACTCTCTCGTCGAATTCGACGTATGAGGGCCAAGCAAATCAGATCCTACGAACGGACAGACCGATACTAACACATGAGATTTGATTATAGTGGTGAAGGTTTTGTGAAGAACCATCCACACTTTTTGAAGGGCCAAATACAGAGACCTGGTGCACTACGTGCCATAAAGACCCCAAACGACCCTGTGCAGATTTTGAATTTGGAGTTGTCCTTCCCCTAAACCAGTTGCTATCCAAGGCTATAGAACCCCGTCTGTCCTGCTATTTAACCATAGATAAAGGGAGAAGAAGAGGATTCATACTTTTCCCAAGGGTATTAGCATGTAAGTTAATGTAATGGATTCGACCGGAATTCGAACACTCGGATCTCCGATTCCTCAATACAAGCCGTTATTCATTACTCCACCGTGCCACACACACACACACACACACACACACACACACACACACACACATATATATATATATATATATAGTAATCCACAGACAAACTGTTTCGCTGTATCACAGTTCATCAGTAAACATAAGGTTTCCTCTAGCTAGGATCGAAACCCGGCTGAATTCGCGTCAGTCGGAGATTCTACACCGAAGCCATTGTCAAGGATGAAGTTGAATTTAAGCGTATTTATTTTTAGATAAATACACAGTAACTGAGAGAACGCGATATGTGTGTGCGTGCGTGTGTCACTCCTCCTGCTAACCTTTAAGTGTCACTCGCCTGCTATCTTCTAAGTTTACAAGAGCCAGATCTGGCCCAAAATGGAGTACTGTTGTCATATTTGAGCAGACGCTGCCAATATATGACTCTCTAGCCTTGATAGAGTCCAAAAACGTCTCCGAGGCCTTGTGGGTGATGAATTATGCTCCACCCTTCAACCCTTCTCCCATATATTTTTTCATACACAAAAATGCCCACTATAATTCAGATTCACCCACAGACACACTGATATCACAATACAAAAACATGTGAGGTATGCCTGACCAAAAAAAAACACAAAAAAAAACACCCAAAAAACATGTTAATGTGGATGATGCAATAGATTATAGTTGCACCTCCCAAAGTCTGGATACCAAGAATCATTTGCTCGACTCTCCTCCTACGTAGCCCAAGTGGTTCAATGGGGGAAGGACTGACTTGTAAGATTTAATATGTCCAAAACTAAAATGGTAACGTTCCATCAGCTTCGAGCATACCCTGTACTTTCACGTATCATGATGGATCGATCTTCTTTCATAGGTACCTCTTGCTTTGAAGCTTCCAAGTGGATCTTCGCTAAAGATGCTGGAAATATGGTCGGTTCATTAAACGACTCCACTATGTATCTGACCCTTTTACAAAAATCAGTTCGGACCAAAAATTCAATATTGTTGGCGCTGTCAAATCTTCACTCGTTTGCTAAAACGTGTTAGCATGCATCTAAGTGGCCTTGTGTGTAATGAATTATTTTCAACTCTACAGCCCTTTTCCAACAGATATTCGTTATTCTCTCTATTTCCATGACATGTCTTCTGACGAGCTGCGTTATTACTCCCGCGAGTCTTGGCCTTTGCAATTGGGACCCGCCCTGACTCGTTCATCAGAATGAATCATCCACATTACGTTCGTGTTCCAGTATATAGTAAGTTCCACTCGGACAACTTCTTCCCAAGAGCTGCTGCTTTGTGGAACAGGCACAATCTTGTCCTCTTCAAGATTATGTTTAACTCATATTTCCGGAAAAAAAACTTCATGAACTTCTTTTACTGCCGTTTCTTACGCCTATACAACACCACACATTCACCCTCTAAATTGAGTGGCTCTTGGGCCTTGTATTTGGGGAACATTGAGCAACAGGAGCAATCGACCTGCTATTAAATATTACTTATGGCCAACTAGCATCGGTCTTTTTTATTTTCAATGTAATCTACTTTGGGTTCGTGTCTTTTCATATCTTTCTGCTTTTACTGAAATAACTTTTCTGTCGGGAAGGATTATGAGTTTTGTTCTTGTTGTTATTGGTTTTACGTTTTTTTTTTCTTTTCTTTACTTTTTCCATTTATATTTATTTATTTATTTTTGTATTTACTTTTTTTTGTATTTATTTTACTTTTTTTTTTTTTTCTAGCCTGTGGCCTCCGAATTTTGCTTGGCCCTACAATAGTCCGCCGCTTTTCTCTGTCGGTCATTGTCACCCTTTCATTGTGGAACGATCGTAAAAGCGAAAAGAGTGACCATACAAAAGCCCTTCCGAATCTTTCTCTCTCTCTCACTCTCTCTCTCTCTTTTCTTATTCACTCTTTGCTTGATTCACACAGCAAATGCGTCTTTGCAAAAGAAAATTGATAAGGGCAATAGAAAGACAGAAAATCACTATTTGTATTGAAAGACTTGTTCCTTTGTTACTTTGGCCAAAGCTGCCCTTAACAACATCAGATACCTACCGTTCACAGTTATCCGAAACACGCACACACACAGACACGCACATGCGAGCACATGAACTTACAGGCTCACATTTATCGGTATAACTACGCACAAACATCATTCCACAAGCATATATGTCTATTGATAATGGCACAATTACATACAGCTACATAGATTTGTCACTTCACATCTATCTATCTATCTATCTATCTAAGTATGGTCATTATTTATCTATCTACCTAAGTCTGGTCATTATCTATCTATCTATCTATCTATCTATCTATCTATCTATCTAAGTCTGGTCATTATCTATCTATCTATCTATCTATCTATCTATCTATCTATGTCTGGTCATTATCTATATATCTTATTTTGGTTATCTATCTATCTATCTATCTATCTATCTATCTATCTAATTATGGTCATTATCTATCTATCTAAGTTTGGTTGTTATCTATCTATCTATCTATCTATCTATCTATCTATCTAATTCTGGTTAACTGTCTATCTATCTATCTGTCTAAGTCTGGTCATTATCTATCTCTCTATCTAAGTCTGGTCATTATCTATCTATCTATCTAATTCTGGTTATCTATCTATCTGTCTATCTATCTATCTGTCTAAGTCTGGTCATTATCTATCTATCTCTCTATCTAAGTCTGGTCATTATCTATCTATCTATCTATCTAATTCTGGTTATCTATCTATCTGTCTATCTAACTATCTGTCTAAGTCTGGTCATTATCTATCTATCTCTCTATCTAAGTCTGGTCATTATCTATCTATCTATCTATCTATCTATCTATCTAAGTCTGGTCATTATCTATCTATCTATCTAATTCTGGTTATCTATCTATCTATCTATCTATCTATCTAACTATCTGTCTAAGTCTGGTCATTATCTATATATCTCTCTATCTAAGTCTGGTCATTATCTATCTATCTATCTATCTATCTATCTATCTATCTATCTCCTGTATACATTCCCATTTATAAATTTCTCTGCGTATGCATAATCTAGCCCTAGACAGTTGACTTAATAAATGCTTATACTCCTAAAACAAGTCGTTATTAATATTTTTATAAGCATTGATATTATGAAATGAAATGCACACGTAAAATGGAGTTTATAAGTGATACATAGTGGAAAATTGTCTAACTAGTTAACAACTGTACAGTAACATATGCGTATTTAACACCCAGACACACGCACACACATACGCGCATACACACACACGCATTTATATATATATATATATATATATATATATATATATATATATATAACGAAATAAAAACTTTTTTCCGAACCCTCTGCACTCTCATCAGACTGACATTAAAACATTCTGAAATGATTGTATTGGGGCTTCTGGGGCGTATGCCAAGTAGTACAGTATGCGTTTATAAATTTCTGGTACAGAGAATTGTGTCATGGTGTTCTTTTTTTTGTAGACGGTGACCAACTGACCCAACTATATGTATGAGCTGACAAAATTCCAGAACAAACAACGCGCATATGCAAAGTTAAAAACCAAAAATGTCGACAATATACCCAACGTATCCTGTATATACATATACAAATCTGTCCAAATATTTAGACAGATCGTCCTCTTTATACATCTCGATCTCTCACAATATATATAAATATATAATAATAATAATAATATAAATATAAGTAATTATACTCGTCTGGAATATATATATATATATATATAAATTATATAAATATATATATATATATATATATAAATACATACAC